TCGTCTTCTCCTGACAAATAATTTTTATCTAGTAAATGGTTGCAGTCTAGCTGGGATTAATTTGTTTATAACACTGTCTTGGTGTTACATGAACTGTTTCATGAAATTTCAAAAAGATTTCTTGCTACATTTTGAAAAAAATAAATTGTTAGGAAATAATTTTATGGTATTTTTTCTTTGCTAAATTATTTTTAGTTTGTGTTAATAGAACAGATAAAGAAAAACAAAACATAATTTGGTTTTCTCCTATTTTGTGTTTGGATTGTGATAATAGCTCATGCATTAAGACTTTATAAAAACAAATGAATCTGCAAACTACCTTTTGGAGTTATGACTTTGCAAATTTTGCCAAAACGAAAAACGTTGCATGTAACTACTCTCAGTGGATTCCCAATCTGTCAAAAGGACCACAAGCTGATGTTTGTGTGCGTGTATATATATATATATATATATATATATATATATATATCTGGAACTCCATTATGGTTACTTACTTCCCTGTTAACTACAATCCTCAAAAGTTTAAATGCAACATTAATTGTCATCTTCTGTCTTCTTGAATCCTGTTCATCTTCTGCTCTTTCTTCAATCCTCCCTATTCTCAGTCTTCTCTTTAACTTTCACTCCTTAAAACCCCTTTGTACTAGTGGTATTCCCACCTTGTTTGGGATGCAATGATTTAAAAAAATTGCAATTTACTTACCTATATCGTGAGTAGGACTACTCACAGTGCAAACTCACAGTGCCAAACAGAAAATCAAATCCATAAAAATAATTACCCTGAAAATAATCAGAAAAAATCTTGTTAAATATACATCAAAGGACAAAATTTGATAGATAAATAGATAGAGACAATCATGTTAAGTGGAAAGAAAGCTCTATATCTCCTCTTTAATAACAAATAAAATCACTCATTTTATCAGTAAGACTATTTTCCACATGGGTGAAGAGGAGACTTGAGGCAACAAAGATGTGAGCCATGAGGAAGGTTTAAGGAAAAATTTTTTTAATCATTATCATATCATGCAAAGTAGTAAAGCCACTAAGACGCAAGGGGCTATAAGGTGTGGAAGAATTAGGAACAGAAAAGAGTAATCAGGAGGACAGTAGATAGCAATTGTCATTCCATTTAAATTTTTGCAGATCAAAGTTGGCTGGAAAACATGGATTCAGAAGGGAGTTCTACAAGTGAGAAGTGTGAGAAAAAAATTGTCAGCATAGAACTTACAGCTACATCTCGCCAGCTCAACTGTAAATTGATGAGATCTTGACACCAGTCTAGTACTGCACTTAAATTCAAAAAAAGTTTAGGTACCATTGCAAGGAACTCATTCAAACAATTACCATGAAAGTATTTATAGAAAAGACACAGAGAGGCAACCTTATGGCGGTGAGAAAATTACTGAAGCCAAGTTGTCAGATCAGGATGAATATTATTACTGATTTTTCCTTTTGGATTAAAACAAATCATTAATTAACATAAATTAATTCATTAATTAACAATGTTAATTAAAAAAGGGGAATTATACTCAAGTAGGGATACAGAAAGTAATTATGTCCCTTTGGTGGAGATGAAGTCATGTGAATGATAGTGGCTAGGCAGTTTCCAGGAGTCAAACTGAGCAGTTGCTCTTTTAGCATGGAATCTGTAAACCTAAATATGGCTTCTCCAGAATACAGAAGAATCTCTGCCAAACCAAATTACCATTAGTAATTATTACAAAGGAAAACCCTATCTGATTTTTTTTTTTACCTTTTCACACTTGTTACACTCCATCGCAATTAGATCTCATTCTGATTCATTCTCCATACTGGCTGGATGTGAATGCCATGGAGACAGAAAACAAAATAGCAAAAGTTGTTTTCTGCACATTAGGCATCACACATCACATCCAGTCTATGAAGTGAGCTCCAGGAGTAGCCAATCACGAACATTCCTGCTGGTAAGAGAGATGCCCCTGAAGACTACCAGACTCGCTTAAAAGCAGGCTCTGAGAACAACCAACCACCAACCATCATGCAGGGTCTTGCTGCTGCTACTGCCACCATGACCTTGTCACCATGACAACAGAGTTGTGGACTGAGCATCATGCAGAACACTAGTACTGACACCATTACCACCTTCATCACCACCACTCAACATGACCGCACATCTCAATGACCATAACCAATTCCTGGCTTGGCCAACCACCTCAGCTATACAGCTTCAACTCGAAACATCAAACATTCTTGCAGGAAAATAGGTATCTCAAGTTTAATAGCTGTTATTGCTCTTTCTATTACTGATGGAGCATTTTCTTCCTAATCATTTAAAATAGTGCACATTGTTAACATCTTTATTATGTCATTATTTTCTCTTCAAGTTATGTGCTATACATTTTACTTGTTGCAGTATTTGGATATTAATTGCTCTTATTTTATTTAGTTATATTTATTTTTTAGCTTTAGTTAATTTGATTTTTAAGGTGAAATATACAAAACAGAGTAAAATATATAGTTATTTTTTACAATATCTGTGAACTGCCATATCACTTGGAATTATACTAAAAAGCTTTCTTGTTGCCTTCTCTCTGGTTTGAATTCAAAGTTTTCTTTCTCCTAGACAGGCTGCCAACCAAGACAGGGAATCCAGTCTATCCTGGCTACTTAACTAACAGCTAGGTGGAAGAAGAAATGAATTCATGTCTGTCAAAAGAGACTGGAATTTGAACTTGGCTAGCCAATTCCATTTTCCATACAGATAACCATTGTGCTACATGCACATCCATATCTAACTTGTCAATACTGAATATCTAAACCTTTCCATGGATTAAGGGTATTTTACATTTCTCTATAAACAGTGAACCATACAATTAAAAAGATCTCTTTTGCTATTTGTTAGTAGTCAAGTATTGATTGAATAAAGGTAGCATTTGTCAAAAGGTAAGAAAATATTTCACTTGAGAAAAAACTTTAAACAAATAAAAAGGAAAATACAATAAAAAAAATTAAAATGTCACTGAATTTTGTTTCTAACTGATTCAAATCTTCCTGGAGAACTTTTACAGTATAAAAAAAAAAACATGCAAGTTGTTTTAAAAATGAAAAAATTTCTTCATTCAACCAAGTAAAAGAAAAATACACAGTGGCAGTGGAGAATAAAAAACGATTTTCCAAAGTCAAAGAAATATTTTGTGAATTTTCTATCAAATCTTCAACATCTGCCATTTCTCAGCAAGACGAAATCTTTGGAAGATGAAAGTCAATAATTATTTCAATTGTTTGAAAAAATAAAAAAAAAAGGAAATGATATGTAATCATAATTTAAATTTCTCTGTTAAATCTATTTTTTTCCAAATTGATTCAACAGAAGTTTTTCAATCCAATGTGCAACTGCATAACATATAGAAAACAAAGTCTGATTTGAATACAATCATTATCTTTTAGGGGTTTAGGCATAGGTCAGGAGGATCAAATTTCTCAATTACTGATTGCAACTCACGGATAATTATTTTTTATTACTCAAGACTGTATAAAGTTTTAATCTCGCCAGAATCTCTCTCTCTCTATATATATATATATATATATATATATATATATATATATATATATATATAGATAGATAGATAGATAGAAAGATAAACCTAGGTTTATCTAGGTCTGCTCTACGGTTGTATCGAGCTCTTTTGTTAGTTAGTTGTTTACTCGTATCAGGGTTTTTTCTTTGGGCTTCAAACCTGTATCTGTGCGATTTTTTTCAACAGACTTTTATGTTTGTAGCTCTTTCTTTTTTTAAAACCTTTTTTTCCCCTCGAGATTGATTTGATTATTGGCAATTCAAAGATTCAAGGGTTTTTCGAAATGAGTATAGTTATCTATATTTGTATATATATATATATATATATATATATGGAAATCCACAATTCATCCATGCATAGAATATTGAGCTTCTTGATAAAATCCAAAGAAGAATCAGCAATATTATCTGTCTTGAGCTGGTTGCCTAGCTTTAGTCACTTTCACAGCACTTTAGGTTTGCCTCTCTGTGCCTTGTCTATAAATACTTTCATGATAATTGTTTGGATGAGCTCTGTATTAAACAGAATAAACATCACTCTCCACTATAGAGATTGTGGGGATTTCTATTACAAACATTATTTAGTTTAGTTTCTTGTAAATAGTTTTGTTTTCATATTGTAAATACTCATTGGGGCTAGTTTTTAAATTGTGGTTTTATTACCCTCCCCCAACAGACAATAGGGACTAGTTAGGACTTTCATAGAGACATTGTGGTATTATGGTGGATGAAGTAAGAATGGTAAGTAAGAATGCATTGTTTTGGTGTTAGGAATATTGTAGTATGTTTGGGTCAGTGTTTGTGGTTAGCTAAATTTAATGTTAAGACAGATGAAGACAGTTCTTTTCCAGATTCCTAATTTTGGCCTTGTGCCACATTTTGTAAATAATTACAAATATATACTGCTCTTCACTATGGTAACTAGACTTTATGAATTTAAGCCCAGTACTAGATTGGCATTGAGATCTGATCAAATTACAGTCAAACTGGCTTGATGTAGCTGTAAATTTTATGCTAACACTTTCTTTTCTTGCACTTTCACTTGTGGAATGCATCTTCTAGCTCCACGATTTAAATCCAACTTCAATCTGCAAAAATTTGAATGCAATTTCAGTTGCTATCTACTTCCCTCCTGATTACTCTTTCTTCTTCCTGCTCATTTATAACGTATCTGTTCCTAATTCTTCTATACTCAGTAACCATTTGTGTCTTTGTGGCTTTATTGCCTTGCTTGGGGTGAAACTGATTAAAAAAAAATGAAAAACTGTTTCATATGAAATCTGACATCTGGTAAAAAAAAGAAGATATATTTGTTAATTTTACAAGAAATCTAAAGTTTTGAATTGTCCAAAAGCATCCTTGTGGGTGACAAATTATTTTCCATCCTACAGCTCCTTTTTCACAGATGAAATGTTGCAAGCCTCTCACAACTATACATCTAAACTTACAGTACCTATTATTCCCAAATGGTCATTCATCTAGGTACTGACCAGGTTCACCATTGTTTGACTTCTGTGATCATATGGGAACCTGTGCTTCAATGTGATATAGCTGCAAGTTTAAATAAAGTTATACTACACAAATAAAATCAAGAGTTGGTGAACAGCAACAGAAACTAGGGAGATTCATCATGCAAACAAGTCCCAAAATCTTCAAGTATAATATCTTGCTGTTTGCTGACATGTATATACATCATCTGAAGTGGCTCGTTGATCCCTGTTTCAGACACCTGCTCAGGTACATTTGTGTTTCTTCAACACTTACAGAGCCAATATGTGGTTTATATTGCAATTCTGTTGAGCAGACCTTAGTTACAGTTTCTGCATATGATTTTATTTGGTTTGTTTATTTTACCAACACATTAACAGTCTTGGGTCATTTAATGCTGAAAACTGGATTTCTATTCAATAATGTTTTACGAAGTTTTAAATTTTAAGCTTTATGAAATATAATTGGAATCTAGTTGTATAGTTCAGCTGAAGGTGAAGTTGTTTGAATTAAATTTTGGTGTATAATTTACTTTTCCTTAGGTACATCTAACATTTTCAAAAAGACCTTTAAGACTGTTCACCTTTCAAAGGCATTGATGGATAGGGCCAAATTCGGTACAGTCAATCATAAAATGTTTTATGTTGTATGTCTTGTGGCATACTGTGCATTTGGGTGGATCCTCCTCTTTTAAGAGAAAAGAATGTGCAATATTGGTATGACCAATTCTGATTCTTGTTAAGACTGCTTCTTCTCTTTGGGAAAGACTGATGCCATGGCGTCTTATCCCAAATGTAGGTTTGATTTTGTGCAATTTATTACTTAGGTGAGTATTCCATAACTCTTGCTATTTATTTAATATATATAAGTATTAATTACTGTTTTGAAATCTGCACAGCTTCTGGGAGCAAGTAAATTATCTGACATGATCAATGATTAAACATGGTCAGTACACTCAAATCCTAGCCATGAAGATTTGTGACTTTATACAAGCACCACCGTCAATGGTATCTGAACAATTTCTGTTAAGTCAATCTTACTCTAAACTGAAGTGAATAGCACATTTACCTAGAAGGAAAAATAATACTAAAATCATGATGTTGACTTTACACACGACCTTAAACAAAAGATAAGGAAGGAAACCTCCATAAGTATTAGAAGGAGTAATAACAGTGAAGTTGAGAAGTTTGTTTTTCGTTTTTTTAACAGTACCACATTTTAGTGGCACCTTAATTCAAGACGTTTGACAGCAATGTACCAATTCAGCTCTATTGAGGTTACATACAGACATACAAAATCAACTTTTAGTATTATATAGAGGTCCAGAAAAAAGTAAAAAGTATAGGAATAAAGAGATAAAGAGGCAGAAAGCATAAATGGAATGCATACGAAGCTTGAAATTTGTCATTTGCTCGTCTCAATCATTGCAATTCAGGTTTTGAAATTTGTAATTTTCTCATCTCAATCTGATCTGTTCCCTTGTTCAGGAATAATTTCTCTCATCATCTCTGACCAGAATCTTCTTCAGCCTAACCTTACTTTAGTTGCCAAAAGGAACTCTTTTATAATCTTTAACAACACCTGGTGAGATTTCACTTTGGAATGATAAGTCGGCTCACTATGGGGTAATTAGCTGCACTCATTTTCACGATCAGTGCAGAAATTTGGCTTCCAATTTCAGGAAATTTGGGTTTTATTATTCGGGCATATTTTGTTATTCAGGCATAACCCCACTGGGATGAATAAGGTTGAAATTAATTCTTTTTAAAGCAATGCCCCTTGATAGAATCCTGAATACGTGGACAAATTACTTCATTGTGCCCAAGTTAAATTCGATTAGGGCACTTCTCACAATTCTACATTGCATTTCAGATGCAGATGTTTCTGGAAATGGGAGTGACAGCCCTTTCTCCCCATTTTCCTTATAAATAAGTACCTGCCAATAGAAAAGATGTCATTGATCTATGGGAGAATCAATTTGCTTACTGTATTTTCTGAAGAATTTTGTTTGTTTTTCAAAGAGGCTTTGAATAAATATTTGACAGTAAAAAGGAAAATTCTCCCTGCAAAAAAGATATGAGAATTCATCATTCAATAATTCATGCTTTTAGAATCAGGAATAATGGAAATTAATATATATATATATAAAACAAAATTTAAAGAAAAGAAACCTAAAATCTGTTTTTGTTGTTGTTGTTGTGGAGAGAATTTTCTTTCTTTTAATTAAATTAATTCCTATTCAAAGTATTCTTATATGAACTTAAGTTATAAAACAGACAAAGACACAAAAGAAATTGAATTCTATATAAAGAAAAAATGACTTTCTCTTTTGTTCTTCCTTTCAATAAGAATGAAATATCTGAAGGTAAATATGCATAACAGATATTATGATTTGTTCAACAAACACTGTTCATGTCATTTTTAAGTCTTATTTTTCTAAACATCTGCCACATCCATCTCCACTCTGTTTCCTTCCTCTTTCTCCTCTATTTTTTTTTATTGTAATTGTAGTAAAAGTAAGAAAAATATAGAAGTTTCTTTTCCCTTTCTGTCAAAATATCAACCTTCAATTTGTAAGGATTTTAATTCTTGAATTCTCAAAAATAACCTTACCAAAAGAAATTTTACAAACAAAACACTAATCTGAATAAACTAGGAATCTGTTAAGGTGTAACAAAAATATTCCTGTTTTAAAAATGATTACTTTTTTATGGCTTATCAACTCCTCACAGGTTATTTCACGCCAGAAAATATTTTTAGATTTCAATAAATTTTTTGGCGATGATAATAATTTATTAATACAAACACCACTAATTAACCCATACCTGGAGGGGAGAAGAGGTGTATTGATACTTTTCCCATGGGTATTAGTCTGTAAGTGAATATAATGATCCCGACTTCATTTGGAACTCAAATTCAATTTTCAATTCCCAACTGTTATTCATTAAACCGTTGACATATTCAAGCTTACAGCACCTGGTATTCGGTAGCACTCATCCATTTTGGTACTGACCAGTTCTAATATTGCTTAACTTTGGTGATCATATAAGAATTTGATATTTACTGATGGTTAAAGCCTATTTCATGTATCTGTAAGTCTACCATTCATCCATGCCGCAAATATTGCTGTCAGAAATGGTCCAGTGACTCTGCTATATATTCTTGACAAAATACAAAGAAAAATCAGCAATATTATTGGTCTTGAACTGGCATCCTGGCTTCAGTCATGTTCTCACCACTGTAAAGTTGCTTTCCCGTGCCTTTTTTATAAATATTTTTATGGTAACTGTTTGGATGAGTTCTTTGCTATGGTACCTAGACTCTATGAATTTAAGTGCAGTAGTAGATTAGCAACAAGGTCTCTACAGATGAATTGGCTAAATGTAACCATAAGTTCTATGCTAATAGTTTCTTTTCTCAAACTTCTTGCTTGTGGTCAAGTTTGATCTTCAAAAAATTAATTGCAATGTCAATCGTCATCTACTGCCTTCCTGATTACTCTTCTATTGTTCTCGCACCTCAATAATGCTTCTGTTTTCTAATTCTTTCACACTCAGTACATTAGTGGCTTTACTGCCTTACAGGAGATGAATCTGATTATTAAAACAAAAAAGTACATTTAAAAACTATATATGAATTCATCATAATATTAATCTATATTTCATATCATTACTATTCAGTTGTACCAATTGTTTCAGATGCTATATTATTAAATTACTGAGATTTTAGCAGTTTTCAAACCTTAAGCTTGCTGAAGCTACATGCAAAATTTGGGAAGTGTAAAGAAATGAAACCGTATCTAACCATACTAGCTGAAACATTTTAAGGGAGTTAACTTATTCTTTGACCCAGAAGTGGATATCTTATATTTTAAAATGCAAGGTAAATTAGAAACCAGCCACCATCAAATGAAAACTTTCATAACAGATGGGATCACTGAAAGAGTTCATATGTAGAGTATTAAATAAGATTTAAAAGCAGTTGATTAAAAAAAAATGAAATTACTTGTTACACACCCTGATAATATGGTAAGGCTAGAAGCCACTCACCATTTAAGACAAGCCTGTAATTTTTATTGTCAATCAGAGGCAAAATAGAAAGTGATCTGAAATCAAATATAAAGTTCTGTAGATTTTATTTTATTTTGTTTGCCAGTGGTGTTCTATTCAGGACTATATAAGGAAGTTACATAAATACTCAATCTTTCTGTGCCGAGATGAAATAAAAATAATACAGAATTTGTCTCCATTAGGGGAGATTTCTTCCCTTCAGGCAAACCAACTAGTTAATTTCAAACAACACATTAAAGCTAAGTACATAAATGCTTTCTTTCTTTTTTCAAACTATCTGTTCACACAATATAATTTTCTCTTCTTTTGTGAACTATATTTTTCTTTATAAAATTATATGCATGAAATTCTTTCACCTGTTGTTAATTTCATTTTATTGACAGTTTTCATTGTAATCAACCATAGCGGGTAGTAACTCCACATACTACAAATTGGTGACCAGCAGCAACCTTAGGCAATGCAAATTGTAGCACCTCTTGTTAATGTTCTATTTACATAGACAAACTAAAAAACTATCTTATTCCTAACAATTTATTTGTAGTTTGAAATTCATGACTTCTGTCAATTGAATTATATCCAAATCAATTGATAAATACAAAATTAAGAAAAAAATACTTCACACTATTTTCAAAACCAATTGAGAACATTTTTTGAGAGATCAGGACATGGTCAATAATGGTTCTCCACAATTTCCTATTCTTTGTATCTTTAAGCAGTTTTTGTCCTCTTACTATCCCTCCCAGTTATTAGATAGGTTATTTACTGTCCCACTTACCTTCAATATGACCTGTGAGTGTCAAATTCTCTAAGCCCTCTTTCTTCATTATACATCCCAGAAATTACAACTGTCTCTCCCTTATTCTAAGCAGAAGCATCTTTCCTGCTTTCATTTTCCTTAAATCTTCCTTATTTCTTACATGAACTGTTCATGATATTCTCAACATTCTTTATGTCTGATGCCTCATGTCTCCTCTTCTTCTGTGAGGAAATGATTCAGAA